AGTATATACTTGTGTTTATTAAATACAAGTTTTAAGCATTTATGTAAAACCATACACTGTAATAAATGGAATGTTTTTAGTATTATGAGCCAAAGGGGGGGGGTGTAATAATATTTTATTTCTGAATTACACATAAACTTGAGGGGGGAGATTATCATTGTTTGTTTTGGTTTTTTAATGGCCTTGAAAGTAAATCTTGAGGATACAATGTACTGTCTCATTACACTGGTAAGAGAAAAAATGTTAGGTTTTTAATACAAACATACCTTATCTACAATCAGATTCATGAAACTTTCCCTTTGGAACAAATTGTATTTAATGTTACTTCTACCTATCAGTATAATCTAACTCACTGATACTCAACTGAGGGAGGTGTTATTGTTTGGGTGTGGGGAGAGGGAAGTGTCACAAATACGGCAGGATTCTAAATGTCCTGCAACACACAAGCAGTCCTACACAACAAAGAATGATTCTACCCAAAATGTTACTAGCACCCCATTGAGAAAAATTAAATGTGTCACTAAATAACTTTATTAGTAGTAATTCTTTTGCCTTCAAAAATGGATAAAAGAAAATATGGGCAGACTTTTCTGTAATTCAATACATCTAAGGCAAATAAAGATGGGGAGGTATTTTAACTCACCAGAGACAAACTCTTAAAATAAAATTTGATGATAAAGAAGACAAATTATATATATATCACCAATTATTAAAGTCCCTTTTTAGGGCAGAAAATGGGAAAAAGTTAACCAGTTCATATAAGTGTAAACACATATAAATAGATAAAAGTGGAGCTATGATAAATAACACTTGAGAATTCTCAAAAGATTGTTCATAATTAGAAGAACAGAATTTTTTAAATCAATGGTTCAAATTTGATAAGATTTCACTATCTTTCTATTGAATGTACTCAAATCAGAGTTAAAAGTTTTACAAGTATGTTTTAATGAGTTTCTTATTTTGTCTGATATGGCTTTGTAACATGTGAATATCTCTATTTAAGTATGTTAATATTTCATTTATTTAAGGAAGACTAAAAAGTACAATTAAATATGATGTCACTGTTTTTTAAACATGCCATTCTGGGCTACAACATAAATAACTACTACTTTTCACTTAAATGGTAAGGTGATAAGTTAGAACATATCAAATGCTGGGAAGAAAATCTTAAGTTATATTTTCAGTGGTACTTTCTCAAAGATATTGGATCCAAATTAAATGTTTTAGGTTTAATCTTTCCAACGGATCCTATAAACTCCACCTTCCTCAATAAGGGCCCTCAGGTCAAGACTGATTATGAAAAGTATAATTGTATGTAAGTTTACTAGATATTAATAACCACCTATGTTAAATCTTTCTATATCATATATCTAAATTCAAAACCTTCTGTAAATGAAGAATATCTTTCTTAAAAAGAAATAAAAATAAAAATTTAAGTAACTTAGCAATACCTTTTGGACTTACATTGGTGATGATTCGATGGAGGGAATTTACCAGCACATAGTGAAATGTAGAAGGGGAATTCTGAGCCAGGCAGATCTACAGAGGGCAGAAAAAATTAGGGGATTATTTATGTGAAGAAAGAAAAAAAAAAAAAAATCAGTAACACAAATGAGAACAAAAGGAAAAATAAAACAAAAAGTTTTTAAAAATAGAATAAATTTTTAAGGTCTTGAAATTAATACTGATATATAATATTGAACAATACTAGTATGGGTGTAACCTATTCATCTTTCTAGTCTTTTCACATTTATAAAGGATCAATAGCATCAGTGAATGTAACTGGATAAAGGCCAATGCTCTCACCTTAAAGTGTTGGTTGTTGTGAGGGCTTATACGAAAGCAAGAAACAAGGCAGTCAATCATTAGATCCACATCTGCAGGCTGGCTGCCTCTTGAGAATGGTTTGCTTGGATTAAAGAGCAGGTTCTATGAAAATCCCAAAATAAAACAAAAGCCTTTAAATAACCGTGCAGTCTTTCTTACTAGCATTTAATAACATCAACACATCATCCACATCGATGGCAGTAGCTTTCAGTAGCCAGAAGAAGCACAAAGCACTAATACTGTGGTTCATCAGTCTGATAAGATTCTTACTATACCATATATAATCCCTTTCAGGTCCTAATATATTATTTTAAAACCAAGTCAGAATATTTATGCTAATGTAAGAAAACTGATTAATTATGTGTTTTCTCCATATTCTATATCACTTTATTTAGCTTGAGGAACAAGTAACAACCAAAGCAGAGCCTATGAAATCATTATCAAAGAAGACTCAGAACGTTAGTGTTAGCAATGATCTTTGACAATTTAGTTTAATACTTATTCTTGGAGTTTACTTCCCATTTATTTATTTTTTTTAAATTATAGTAAAGAAATAACAAGGATGTTACCTTAAGATCAACCACCATAGACTGAACTAGTAGGAAAATGACAGAGTTATCCTCCCAGTTGATGTAGGTACTGGCTTTACACAGTTTGACACAGGCAATTGCAGCACTTTCAGTGAGCTGCCTGCTTCCTCCATGGCCAGCAAGTGCTTTTCGCAGACTGTCCAGAAACAACTTCTACAGAATTCAAATACAGCAAAAAGATAATCTATGAAGTTTCTCAGATTTCAGATTTATCTAATAAAGTAGCAAATTATCAGCCTCTAAAATCTGTACTCTAAAAATACATAGTTGATATCCATGGGTTTTAATTTCTCAATGAAAGGAGTTGTCTTTTAAATATTTCTCGAAGCCAAAAAAATAGAATTTGTACTTCACATTCTTTGTTGAATTATTAAAGAAACATAAACAGTCCTTCCCAAACAAGGTAATTCACTGCTCAACTTTAATTCAGCTGAACATATTCATTTTTACATTATCCTTAATTCCTAAATATTAATTTGTCTAAGTTATAGTTTATGTCAAACTGTTCATTTTTACCTAAAACTCTAGGTATATTTAACCTTTAGTCTTCTAACTAAGGATATACCCTAAGGCTGACTTATTGTTCTAAATTCTGTTCTGCACAAGCTTGTGATCTCAAGCTCTCTTTGCACTAACAAAATTCTCCCTTTGGATTTTCTCCTAAATAAAACTTACAAGTATTCTCAAATATAACATGTCAAAAGCTAGTAACTAAACAACAAAATATACATCCTTCTCAAGTACACATGAACAATAATATCCAGGATAGACCACATGTTAGGCAACAAAACAACTCTTAATAAATTTTAAAGGACTGAAATCATATAAAATATCTTTTCTAATCACAATAAAATGAAACTAGAAATCTCAACAGCAGCCCAGCTGGTTGAGCACTGACTCATGCACCAGTCAGGGCACATGCCCAGGTTGCAGACTTAATCCCAGTGGGGGCGTGCAGGAGACAGTTGATCTATGTTAGACAGTTGATCTATGTTTCTCACATCAATGTCTCTCACATCAGTATTTCTCTCTCTCTCTCTCCCTCCCTAGAAATCAATAAAAAACATATTTTTAAAAAAAGAAAGAAACGGTCCACTGAAATATCATCTTTACAGAATGCTAAGCCTGAAGTAATACACCCTTTGAATAAAACAAACTGCTTCACATCTGGACATATGGAAATAATTTTGCCCTCCTCCTCACCTTATTCATGTTGTTTTCATCAACCATATCCCTGGATATATCCTGGATTATTTCTGGACACAAGATAAGAAGGATGATTTGTAGTGGCCAAACTGCTGCTTTACGTTTGGTGCTTTCAGCAAAACCATCCACCAAGTCAAAAAGCTTTTCTGCACACTCTATGTAAAAAATGTAAATAGTAAATGATTTTATTAGATGAGAAGAAAATCTCTGACATTATCCAAAAATCCAAAGGCCACATATTTAGAATATAAACTTGGAAGTTCAAATAAACAATTCATTTAGGTAATGTCCATGTATTAGAAGAGCTATCCTGATCCATCCTATAAAAATCCACAGCTTGTGTTTAGTCTCAATGTGCAGGGTCTCATGTGAAGTCTGACATATCCAAGGAAGAAGGACTGGACAGCTTCAGGAATCTGTATTCTCTGCCTTGCAGTTGGGCCTGCAGAATTCTAGGTAAGGATACTACTACTTTATACACATCTCCCTAACTACAAAATAAAGCCTTAGAGCACAATAAAGTGCTTCTCTACAATGAAGAGCCATCAAATATCCCAACCACAACTCTAATGAAAGATTAGAGCTTCAATTCAAATGTCTTTATCTATTTGCTCAAGGAAAAGAAAAAGGGTTGAGGATAATTTAGAAATATATTAGAAAAATGTTTCCTATTTGACATCAGTTGATAAGATATAAAAGCACCTTAATAACAAAAAATAACTTGGAAATTGATAGGTTTCTACTTCATAAGTAAGAGTTTAAAGAACAAAAAAAATCTTATCCTTACCAGCCATATCTGTCTGTGGAATCTGGTATAGCTTTGTAAATTCATCTGGATAATTTTCTACCCAGTTCCAAAATGCCTACAAATAATGAAACATGTTTTTACATGAAAGCAAGAGTATTTTCTTAACATAGTAAGTAAAATGTCACACAGCTTCAATTATATCACAAACTACTATCCTTCATAAGAATATTGCAATGCACCTTCCTAAAAATTAATGTAAAATAATTATTCAAGCCATGACTTTTTAATTCAAAATCGAAAAGACAGCAACATTTATAGCTAAAAATTAACAAAATTGTAATGCCAAAGAAGTTATGACTTACTTTTTCCAGGCTATTTATAACAGCTAACTGTGCAACCTTCTTTAGGGCCTTAAATTTAAATGCTGTTTCTGGAGGGGAAAAAAGTTTTAAAAATTAACTATAGATTACTTAGTTAAAACAAATACCGTTCAAAGCTACTAGTAAAAAACAAAACTTTGTTCCACTATTATTTGTAAGCAATATAAAAACAATGACAATTAATAAAAACCAAAAACTCACTAGCTATGTCCACTAAAAACAAAACTCAACACGAAGTATACATGGCCGGTCACGATGTGGGCAGCCAGCGGTGATGCACCTAGCTCATTGCAAACAAGTGAGTTTGACTCACCAGAGGAAGAGCCTATTGAAGATGAACAGACTCCAATTCAGTTATCATGGCCACCCCTGTCACAAGTGAATTGTTCTCAGTATCTTGGTTCATGTGTTCTTCCAAGTTGTAAATTTAAAAATGTTAGAAGAAATATCCAAAAAGATACCGAAGAACTAAAGAGCTATGGTATAGAAGACATATTGCTTTTTGCACCAGAAGGGAACTATCAAAACATAGAGTCCCAAACCTCTTGGACCTCTACCAGCACTTTGGAATAATCTCTCAGCATCAACCAATCCCAGCTGGAAGGACTCCTGACATGGCCAGCTGCTGTAAATAACAGAGGGCCTTAAAATATACCTTAAAAATAACCAAAATGAAAATCTCTTAATACACTGTTAGGAAGGAGTTGGCAGATCTTGTCTTGTAGCCATCATCTTGTCTCCTACTACCTGCCTGACAGTATTACCACAGCATGTCATGTAGAGTCTGAGTGAGGATCTGGAGCAATACAGACCATAAAGCGATATAATTATCTTTACAAGTTCTAGGACAAACTAGCTATACATCTATCATCAATAGATTCACTATCAAGGTCTGTATCTAGGGGGGAAAATAAGAATATTGAACAGCATGTATATATGACCGTGCATCTTCTTAAAAATTAATGTAAAATGAAATTTAAAATTTCTCTAGCATAATTTATATTGAGGTTAAACTCTTAATGTTATCAATTTTAATGTAAATGTATATATGCAGATATTCATAAAACTTTTATTGATAAAAATGTAAATATGCCTTAAACTTCAAAGGTTGTATTTTTTTCACTTTGTTTTGTTTGTAAAGTTACTTTTTTTAAAAATATGGTACACATGGTCATTGTAGAAAATTTTTAAAATACACAAAATTCTAAGGGAAATTTTAAACATCATCCATGATTCTACCATTTGGAGACAATGACAGTTTACAGTTTGGTGAATTTTCTTCCATCCTTTTTCCTATGCACATATAAGACAAATAAATATATTTACCATAACTGAGATCATGTAGGCTAGATATAATCTATTCTTTTCATTTCACATAGTATCCTAAATTTTTCCATGTCATTAAAAATTCTTCATACATGTATTTGATGGCTCTATATATAATAGTAACTATTACTTAATAATTATAACATACCAGGTACTTTAAATCTAATATATTTGATTTTTCTCAAAATCTTAATTCTTTCAGATATTACAGATAAGCAAACTGTCTTTGAGGTTAGAGATCTAATAAACGATTACATTGGACTTCAAAGCCATGGTCTTTCCAATAAGCTTTGATATCTTTCAGAATATTTAATTCAATATATTGTCAACAGTTATTTAAACACTTTCCAATTGTTATCTATTAAGAGATGTCCAATATCTCACTATCTTATCTAATAAAGAGGTAATATGCAAATGACCATCACGCCCTCACAAGATGGCTGCCTACAACCAGGCTGGCAGGAGAGTTAGTGAGGGACAACCAAACGACTGAACAGCTGGCTGTGTGGGGTGACCAGGATGGCAGGGATAGGGGGCAGTTAGTGGTGACCAGGCCAGCAGTGGTGGGCAGTGAGGGGCGACCAGGCAGGCAGGCAGGCAGGCAGGTGAGCCTTAGGAGCCAGCAGTCCAGGATTATGAGAGGAATGTCCTGGATTGGAAAGGGTGCAGGCTAGGCTGAGGGGACCCCCTCCCCCATGCACGAATTTCATGCACCGGGCCTCTAGTTATAAATAACTCTAAGAAATATTTTTAGATCCAAATTATTCCTACATTACTGATTATTTCTTTAAGGTAAGTAAAAGCCAATTTTTTTTTCCTGGCCTTGCAAATAACTTGCTCTCCAGGTCATTTTTAAAACGTATTCCTCCAATATTCTTTGCTCTTGCTCTCCTTTGGTTTTCAAATGACAGCATTACATTTCACAGGGCTCTTGAGCCGTTTTGCCTTCCTATATTCATCAACGTTTATCTTTTGACATCTTAAATGTATTACACAAAGTAGTCTATTCTCAATTCCAACGTATAGATCTTTTATTACTCCATTTCTACAAGTTTCTGCCTGAACATCCTACTGATACTTCAAACTCAATAATCTAAAGCTGAATTTATCATTTTGCTGACCACTTTCTTCTCTGCTACCCATCCTTCCTCTCCTTTCCTGCTTTAAGCAGTTTGCTCTGTAATACTTAGTAATACTTCCCTTTAACTTCATAACCTAAATAAATCACCAAATGCTATGTGATGTATTCTATTCAAATGCTATATATTCTACTTCTTAAATACCATACCAAATAGGTCCCCATACTACCCATTCTATCCAGACCTCCACTACCTTCATTATTTTTCACTCACATAACTACACAAACTAGTCCCAGAATTTCATGTAACCTCCCATCAAACCATTCTGCAAATTTCAAGCAAAATGGTGTATCTAAAATAAAATACTAATCCCACCTTAAAGCCTTTTCATCACTTCCCATGGCCAATAAATTAAAGCCTCATAAGCCACAAGCACAGTAGTGTAGGAGTTAAATACTTGGGTCCTAGAGATGGGCAGATGTGCTTTGTACTTTTACCCTGACACTCACTAGCCCTATGATCTCTGAAATGTTACCTCCTAACACTCAATTTCCTCAACTATATAGAGGATGATAATACTACTACCAGCTTCCCAGGATTACTGTAAGAACTGATGATAAAAAGCATGTAAACTACATAGCATGATGTGTGGCACATACTGAAAATGCAACAATTACTACCTTTTTATTAATATGATCTGACCTACTCTTATACCTCCATACCTTGCTCTTTTCCTCTTAAAATCTCTTGCCCACAAACAAATGCATATTTCTTCTCTTACTTTATGCTTATCCTCTTTGAGTTTGCCACATTGCTTTGCAAATAATTTGATAATTATGTCTTTCTCTCATAAGTCAGGCCTTAAGCTCTGTAGGGAAAGGTTCACTATTTAACTAATCATTGCAAGACCAACAATTAGCATGGTTTCTTCCACAGTTTCTCAACATATAATACTGAACAGAATTTAAAACACATTATTTTACTATTGATATTACAGAAAGTTTCTATTCCTTTTACCACTGTTACCTAGTGCTATCCTTTGCCAGCCATTTTAATATTTCCTTTATATATGCCATATTTATCAGCATAGAATCTAAATTTATATTCATGGGAGAGCAGGATTCAATGGGAATAACTTATCACAATAAAAAGTCACTTATCCACACATTTAGTTTCTTTTCACTTGGGCAAATAGAACCATCTCAATTAATTGTTACGGATTACACATTTCTAAAAAAAAAACCAAAAAAAAAAACACTGAGGTTTTAAAACAAACACCTATTCACTGACAACCTGGACTAGACTTACTTCTAAAATGTCTCTGAACAGTTAAGGAAAATCATAAAATCCCACTTATATTTCTTTAATTTTAAACATAAAAGTCTCTAAATTTTATCATTCACTTTCTTTACTTCTTAATATTTAATGATACTAAATCTTGAAATTTCAACTATGAATTGAGTGGTGGTTCACTATAATCTAAAATAATTGCAAGATATTACATATCTTGATGTAATAGCTAAAATAATTCTTTTTTGCCTGACTGGCATGGCTCAGTGGTTGAGCATCAACCTATAAACCAGGTCACAGTTTGATTCCCGGTAGGGGCACGTGCCTGGGTTCCGGGCTCATCCCCAGTGTGGGGGGTGCAGGAGGCAGCCAATCGATGATTCTCTCTCATCACTGATGTTTCTATCTCTTTCTCTCTCTCTCTCTCGCTCTCCCTTCCTCTCTGAAACCAATAAAAATATATTTTAAATAAATAAATAAATAAATAAATAAGTAAATTCATTTTCCCCTTTATTAATGTTACTGAAAAGTGATTTCATTGTTGCTTGGTTTTATAATGTTAATTACCTAAAGTCATAAATTCTGAACAAGGGTAATAAAGATGGAAGACAGCCTTGTAATACTTATCCAAGCAGGTAGGTATAGCCTTTTCACATCTCTGATGAACTAGTTATTGAGTTTAAGCAAATGGTAAGAAAACTACACAACATATTTTGAAAATTACACTGCAGAACTATTGAGGTTTTCAAAGTTAATATAACTAAGTCTCCTGTTAGGTTTGACAGAAAAAACCACTGACAATTCCTGAATCAATATACAAAGTAAAATAAAAAGTGGTGTGAATCATAAGAGTTCACATTTAAGTTACATAAAACTAAGAAAATATTTTTTGTGAAATGAATTTAAGTATTTATAATCAATGTATATATGCCCATTAAATGCCTACTGATTTATATCAACACTGCCCAACTTAACACAAAAATCCAATTCTTTCTAATAGTTTATTTTAATCATCATCATAAAAGCACTTTCCAAAGATGTAAAATGACAATCAAGAATTATAATATCCCCACATGGGACTACTATTGACATGTTCTAAAAGGAAGTAAAACTAAGCACTGAAAGCGTAAGAGACTGTGTGATACTGCGAAGTCAGTAAGTAAAAAACAGAGCTGAAAACAGAAATGTTAGAAATGAAATTTCCTGCTCAATTCCTCTTCTCATGATAAGATCACAATTTCTGGTTCCTTCAGCTTCTGAAATAAAACTTTGTTATCCTACTAAACTATCTGCTTTAAGCTCTACAAAAGCTATATATTAACTTTTGAAATCTATAGCAATACTTAAGAGATAAAATTCTAAAAATATTAAATAAAAGCAACCTTATATACTTATATACAAAAATTACAGTTAAATCTTTCCATGGCCAAGATTTAAGATATTAATTTTCTCTATTGTATGGTTTTCAAAGTTTCAAAAATTGCTGAACCATAAATATCATTATCCATGTCTCAGGGACATTTGCATTATAAAATCCACTTTGATGTTCTAGATCAATACAACTAGAACATTCAAAATACTGGGTTTTCAACCACAGGGATTAATTGCAGCTATATCATACATTTAAACTTACCCTTCAGGAGTCGTTTTAATTTCGCACAATCCACATTGATATACTGTAACAATTCTATATCATGAACATCAACATTGTCTTCCGAACAAACGGTCAATTCCTGTAACCTGAAAGTAAAAGCCAATTAATTTATCAATTTAAGTCTTACGATAGTCAAAAATTCTGAATTCAACAGATTTTTCTCACCCCAATGATGAGTTATAAGAGAAAATACAAATATAAGAAATCAGAGAATAAATATTTATGAAAATCTAAAGAAAGATAATAAGGTAGGATAAAAGAACCATGATAATACAATAAACTTCACTATGTATATGTTTATCAAATGATACTTTAAATATGTACAATTTTTAAAAATATATATTTTATTTATTTTACACAGAGAGGGATAGAGAGAAACATCGATGAGAGAGAAACATCGACCAGCTGCCCGCAACCAAGGTACATGTCCTTGACTGGAATCGAACCCGGGACCTTTCAGTCCGCAGGCCGATGCTCTATCCACTGAGCCAAACCGGTTTTGGCTGTACAATTTTTTTTTTAAATCATAATATACTGTTAACTGTTGAAGCACAGTAAGAGATACATGGGTATTTAAAATACTCTTCTCTCACCCTAGATCGTTTGGCTCAGTA